TTTTTTTTTTTTTTTACTTAATCTTCTTCACAAATAGAATGGCTTAATTTCTACAAAATTGAAGTTAATTGACCTGGTTGCTCGTCAATTGAAGTTTAATAGCCCAATTGCATTGAAGCAAAAGTTTTGCGATATATAATAACAATCAAACCAAATTCATGCATATTGTTGTGTGCACATGTTAGTTTTGATGTCCATCGCAGCAAGTTCTATTGCGCTATTAAATTGATGTTAAGTGATTTGAATGCTGTCAATTAAAGTTCAGCGATTTGATTACAGAAGGTGTGAAAGATCCTTTTAGGTAGTTTAAACTAATTTTAAGAAAAGTCTTAAGAGTTTAATCCCAAATAAAGGAGAAGCCTGCCTAATCTCCAATTTTCTGTTCACATTGTGCCTTAATTAGGCTGTTCCATTCTATCTTGTGGTTGAGAACACGCCACTCCTTTTCGGGGAAGAGGTCTTCTAAATCTTTGGTAGAGGATCAAATTCTATTGGACGCAATTTAATTCTGTTTTTTTTTTTTTTTAATTTCGATAGTAAGAAAGATTTTTTACATAATTTGAATCCAAAACACTTGATTCCTTCTTTTTTTAGATAAAAGTAAGCAATTTCTTTATGTTATGTTTACCTAATCGAATTTCCTATTATGCTACTCGTATTATCGTGTAGTGATGAAAATAAGTTCATATCTAGCTTTCATTTTATTTTTATTTTTTTCAAATAAATTTTCAACCGCACATATCCTAAGACCAATAACTTTTACCAACTTTTCGAATTACTAAAAATCTGTTTTTTTAGTAATTTCCTGGAATTTTCACCCTAACTATATATGGTAAAAAGTGAGATTTTTAACATGTAAAATAAATTTCAATGATATGCATCAATATTAATTTGAAAAAAAATAATGCTATGTAACCCAACTCGGATTGCAACATCAATTTAGGTGGCGTTAGATGATAGGTTAAATGAAATGTGAAATTAAATAACACACTCAAAAATTAAACCTATGCATTAATTTAAGCAATCACACGAAGCTTCACTGCAACTTCACGAAGATTTCACCTTTTGTTTTTCCTTTTTTGAACAGATTTTTATTTGCAGATTATTTCTGTTTTCCTATATAAACCTCTAAAACAGGCACTGTTGTATTCACAATTGAGTTTAATTCTCCAATGGCAGCAAGAATTGCGAAGTCTCTCAAGCTCCGTTTCGTTTCAAAACCCAAAACTCCAAGCCCTCCTTCCATACCTCAATCACCAATCACAGCCCACGGTGGAAGTGGTGGTTCAGGCCGTTTTTCCGCCCTGCAAACACCAACCAAAGAAGATGAAACCCGACAAGTTTTCTCTTACTTCGACAATGACAACGATGGCAGGATTTCAGTGGATGAACTGATGGCATATTTCACGTCCATTGGAGAATCCATAACACATGACGAGGCTCAGAAAATCGTACAAGAATTCGACAAAAACGGCGACAATTTGTTGGAGTTTGAAGAGTTCGTCGGATTAATGGAAAAAGATGATAATATTCTTAAGATGGCTTTTGAAGTGTTCGAGATTGAAAAGGGTTCCGGGTGCATCACGGCGGAGGGGCTGCGCCAGGTTTTTCGCCGCCTTGGAAACGCCAAATCGTATCAAGAATGCGAGTCTATGATTAGAGTTTTTGATCTTGATGGCAACGGAGTGCTGGATTTTTATGAATTTCAAAAGATGATGGCCAATTAGATTAATTTGTATGCCTTGATGCAGGTTTTTTCCCCTTTAATGAACATCTATTGAATTCTTAAAAAATTTCCATTCAAATTCGAAATAGAACTGCAATTTCGTAGTTATAATTGTTATGTGTAATATATTTATTGTTCCCATTCAGAAAGGCCGGAGAAAGGGTTTAACTCGTTAGTCACTAGCTTTCTTGATAATTAATACTATCACAGTAAAAAAAAAAAAAAAAAAATTCGTTCAAATCTTTGAATAGATTACCAAAATAAATTTGTCCAAACACAATCAGAAAGCACAGAATTAAATAAATTCCCATATTCTCTATTCCATAATCCACAGAACAAAATATAAAAATGTTCTTCAAATCCTCGAGAATTTCGACAAAGTGTATAAGACGTGTTGCTGTATAGAAATGAAAATTCATTATATTTTATAAAAAAATTACTCAAGACATCGTGTATTAACCACTAAAGGTTCATTTATTACATGTATGTTGTAATATGCAGTAAATATAAAGTGGAATATATATTTGTTGGAATAACTCTCAAGTAAGTAATTTATTGTTTGTTGCCGGGGACTCTTAACAGTACAGGGATATTTTAGGATTTTCCCCTTAAAATCTTGCACGGGTCCTAAAGTCTTGCATATATAAGGATTAGTATGTATATGATGTAACCCTATTATTCATACAAAACACAAATTACAGTCGCTTCGTTCACGTGGATGTAAGTCAATTTTCAAACCACATAAATCTCTGTTTGTTTTCTTTCTTCGTTGATTACATCATTGTTGTTGCACAAATCTCAAGAACGTATATATAACACATGCAGGAACAATTTTTATCGTGCACGATATTTGAATTGACAATACTTGACTAATATTAACCCATTAAATTAATCCTCCCGTAAATTTGTATAGACTCTAATTCAAATTTGTTTTCTCATTCCCCTCCTTTAATGAAAACTGGAATTGAATGAGTACAAAGCAGTGGGTTCAGCTTTGAGCATAAAGTTTCTTATTGTTGCAAGATTCCCTTGGACTACTCGGAAAAAAGCTTCTAATTCAACAAGATTTTGACTCATTCTTTTTCCAGAAGTCGAACGATTACTGAATTTTTGGTTCAAGAAAATCGTTACAAGTGGCTGACTGGTTCAAATACTCTAAGATTCAGCCTGCAAATAAGCTAGTGAGAGGACTCGGTCGGTCACGGGGATTTGTGATTATCACGTTGTCTTAGTCCACTTTAAAACTATTATTTTCAATTGGTAAACAGTAAGCTAAAATATTCATGTGAATAATATTGTGAGTGGTGTCTTCAACTCTTCATACGAGTCTGCACGTTGTTAATGAGATTCAGACAAATTCCCAGTTCTCGTGATGCCAATTTTTTGCTTATCTTTACACTTATATATCAAAATTTTTTTGTCATATTCTTATTTTCGATAATCTATTAATTTGCTCATTTCATCTAAAAAATTCACTAAGAAGGCATAACAGAACTTTTATTTGTCTCTCAAACTTTAAAAATAAAATAAAATAAACAAATGATTATAGTATCAAATTAGATAGATACTAGTAAGTAGATGGTATTACGGTGGATTGAACTATTTATTATTATTATTATTTCATTTAGAAGAATGTCATTTATTATGCCTTTCTTATTTGGTCTAAGCCCATTTCCACAATCCATATTTTGGTATGTGGTTGAAATTCTAATACAAAATCATCATCAGAAATGAGATGCACTGATTAATTGAAGTTTACATTTAACACAATAAAAAAAGTTGAGGACGTATATTAATTGACGAAAATAAGCAAAAAATTAGAGCTTTCATTAAAATTAAAATGTGGTGTATATATATATATATATATATATATATATATATATACCCTATCTCAATAGCCACTGGCCTGCATGCACAAGGAGCTACAATAACTTACGATATCAGAAACTTTGTTTTCTTCAGGTTTTAGACACCTCCAGTGGGAGGTTTGTACGATAGGCTATTAGCTCATTGGTAGAGTGCGTCCACACAAGGTGTAAGGATTCTTAATTGGTTTGGATTGTGACAGAGCACCGAGCACAGAGGATTCCGAGTTTTCTTCTGTGAGTGTGCGCGTGCGCGTGCTAAAATGTAAACTAGTTTGACAGCTTCCTTCAAGACACGATCAGGGCCGGAGATGAATTGGGAATTACATCGTATTCTTACAACGTGTTCTACATATATATATATATATATATCTTTTTTTAAATCATTTTAAGAAAATATAGTAATTGTTAAAAATAAGCTTCAAATAAGTTACTAAAGGCAAAAGTTTCGATCATTTGACCAGTTAACTCCTATAGCAATTTTGATGAGTATGATGGAAAGGAATCCAATCTAAGAAAGATCAAGTCAATCGAAAAAGAGTTACGAAGATAAACTCGTCAAATCTTAGCATCGATAACAACCATTGCTAACCGCTTACAAAAATTTTAACAGTTTTCTCTCGCCCAAATTGAATGTGTGAACTTTGCTAGTTTCTTCGAAGCCTCCCAAGGGGGACATACTTTCTTCTCCCTCACCCCAAGTTTAAATATTTTCCATAGAAACTATAGAATCTACAAGTCATCTCCCTCTAGAAACCAGGTTTATTTTGCAAGGAATTTGCCGTTTACTTCAACCATAGAATAACCCAGTTGAAGATCTTGTCGGATATTCAAGACTACGATGGCACCAAACTTCTTGAATCTTGACCATTGATCAAAAAACAGTTGATTCACGGGCATTTAGATGTTTAATGAACTGATTTAAGAATCATCCATGTGGGGTTGGGGCCTCGATATTCCTGTGTCCAAAAAAGAAACAACATAATCACCTGCTAACTATTTAGAACGAAAAAAAAAAAAAAAAAAAAAAAAAGGAAAGAAAGAAAAAAGAAAAAACCTGCATTCCTCTGCCCTGAATATAGATCAACACTTCATTTCTTTTTGAGTAATTATATTCAAACCACATTTTTAATTAACTACATCAAATTTTAATCGTAATGAATGTTCTAATTTTTTGCTTATCTTTACACTTACATATCAAAAAAATTTTGTTACATTCTTATTTTCGATAATCTATTAATTTGCTCATTTCATCTAAAAAATTCACTAAGAAGGCATAACAGAACTTTTATTTGTCTCTCAAACTCTAAAAATAAAGTAAAATAAACAAATGATTATAGTATCAAATTAGATAGATACTAGTAAGTAGATGGTATTACGGTGGATTGGACTATTTATTATTATTATTATTATTATTTCATTTAGAAGAATGTCATTTATTATGCCTTTTCTTATTTGGTCTAAACCCATTTCCGCAATCCATATTTTGGTATGTGGTTGACATTCTAATACAAAATCATCATCAGAAATGAGATGCACTGATTAATTGAAGTTTACATTTAACACAATGAAAAAAGTTGAGGACGTATATTAATTGACGAAAATAAGCAAAAAATTAGAGCTTTCATTAAAATTAAAATGTGGTGTAGTTGTGTGTGTATATATATATATATATATATCTCTTTTTTTAATCATTTTAGGAAAATATAGTAATTGTCAAAAATAAGCTTCAAATAAGTTATTAAAGGCAAAAGTTTTGATCATTTGACCAGTTAACTCCTATAGCTATTTTGATGAGTATGATGGAAAGGAATCCAATCTAAGAAAGATCGAGTCAATCGAAAAAGAGTTACGAAGATAAACTCGTCAAATCTTAGCATCGATCCATTGCTAAACGCTTACAAAAATTTTAACAGTTTTCTCTCGCCAAGATTGAATGTGTGAACTTTGCTAGTTTCTTTGAAGCGTCCCAAGGAGGAAATATTTTCCATAGAAACTATAGAATCTACAAGTCATCTCCCTCTAGAAACCAGGTTTATTTTGCAAGGAATTTGCCGTTTACTTCAACCATAGAATAGCCCAGTTGAAGATCTTGTCGGATATTCAAGATTACGATGGCACCAAACTTCTTGAATCTTGACCATTGATCAAAAAACAGTTGATTCACGGGCAATAAGATGTTTAATGAACTGACTTAAGAATCATCCATGTGGGGTTGGGGCTCAATATTCCTGTGTCCAAAAAAGAAACAACATAATCACCTGCTAACTATATAGAATGTCTCAAACTATTGTCTTATCTTCGTATTTTCTTTCAAGCTTAGCATAATACAAGGAATTTTGTCTGAACTTGAATTAATTTCTGGCACGAATTCTCATCCTTGTCGTTCTAGTCAATTGTGTACATCATACTCGATTTAAAAATCCTTGACGCGCTTATTGCTGTAGCACAGAAAAGCATCTATAATAGATGATCATCCCGAAATCCTCAGTTATACCACCCACCGAAGAACTTTCAAGAAATGAAAATCGTTATGAATTGGATTGTAAACACTTTTGTAACTTACATTTTGTTCACTTCGTCCATCAAAGCACAGCAAAAGTACTCAGGAAATTCAGTGATGAGTTGTGACAGCAGTGACGAAGATGCACCATCCGAGTCTTTTCTTTACTCTTGCAATGGCCTAAATCATTCTTGCAGGGCGTTCCTAACCTTCACAGCACGTTATCCTTACAATTCGGTGCCTATAATCTCAGCTCTCATGTCTTCAAACCAATACGATGTTGCTCAAATCAACAATATTACAAGGTCCACAGTTTTCCCAACAGACGAGCAAGTTATAATTCCAGTTGATTGCTCGTGTCTGGGTCAGTACTATCAAGCCAAAGCGGTGTACCAGATCCCAACTGAGAATGAAACCTACTTCGTAATAGCAAACAATACATATCAGGGATTGTCAACTTGTGATGCGTTAAAGAGTGCAAATAATTACAGTGAGTTTGATTTGGGAACAGGTCTGGAGTTACGGGTTCCACTACGATGTGCCTGTCCGAGCAGGGGACAAACTGCTGATGGATCTAATTATCTGCTGACTTACTCAGTGGGCTGGGGTGATACTCTGCCTAGTTTGAGTGTGAGATTCAATGTCAGCGTCAAGAAAATAAGTGAAGCAAATGGATTTTCTGATGAAAATCCAACACTTTATCCTTTCACAACTATTCTAATTCCTCTGCATAGTGGACCCTTAAGCTCACAATCCACACCTGGGGATCACAATCTCCCAACATCACCTCTACCTGGTTTCAGTGCTCGGAAAAGCAAATCGAACAGGGTTCTTTCAACAGCCGGTATAGTTGCAGGAGGTTTTTCGCTACTAGTAGTCCTAATTATAATTTTTGTCTTTCTATTTCATAAGAGGAAAATATGCGTTCTTCCATGTCGAGAAAGTAAAAATATGACGGCATTTTCTCCTAAAGACGTGATTGTTGAAATTGCAAGTTTTGATCGTGCTCTCAAAGTTTTCAAATTCTCCAAAATAAAGAAGGCTACCCAGAACTTTGGATCTGCGACGAGGATAAAGGGCTCTGTGTACCTTGGAGTTTTTGCTGGAGAAGTTTTAGCAGTTAAAAGGAAAAGTGGAAATGCACGCATTGAAGTGAACATGCTTTATAAGATCAATCACTTCAATATAGTAAAACTTCACGGCGTTTGTGAACACGATGGCTACTCATACCTCGTCTTTGAGTACATGAAAAATGGTTCTCTCAGAGAATGGCTAACCACAAAAGGGTCTAAAGATGTAAAAAGCTGGAATCAGCGAATCCAGATTGCACTGGATGTTGCCAATGGACTCCTCTATCTTCACAGCTTCACTAAACCAGCATATGCTCACAGCAACATAAAAAGCAGTCACATTCTTCTGGATTGCAATATGAGGGCAAAGCTTGCAAATTTCAGTCTTGCAAGAACATCAGGGACGGATGAAGACACCGAGGAAATGACAACACAGATTATGGGCACGAAAGGGTACATGGCGCCCGAGTATCTTGAGACAGATCCGATCACTCCCAAGGTCGATGTGTTTGCCTTCGGAATGGTACTATTGGAATTGATAACAGGCAAATATGCTGTTGAACATGATAGTACTAAAAAACTGATTTCTACAGCAATAGCATCCATCATGAAAGAAGAAAATGCAGAATTAAGAATCATCCATGTGGGGTTGGGGCCTCGATATTCCTGTGTCCAAAAAAGAAACAACATAATCACCTGCTAACTATATAGAATGTCTCAAACTATTGTCTTATCTTCGTATTTTCTTTCAAGCTTAGCATAATACAAGGAATTTTGTCTGAACTTGAATTAATTTCTGGCACGAATTCTCATCCTTGTCGTTCTAGTCAATTGTGTACATCATACTCGATTTAAAAATCCTTGACGCGCTTATTGCTGTAGCACAGAAAAGCATCTATAATAGATGATCATCCCGAAATCCTCAGTTATACCACCCACCGAAGAACTTTCAAGAAATGAAAATCGTTATGAATTGGATTGTAAACACTTTTGTAACTTACATTTTGTTCACTTCGTCCATCAAAGCACAGCAAAAGTACTCAGGAAATTCAGTGATGAGTTGTGACAGCAGTGACGAAGATGCACCATCCGAGTCTTTTCTTTACTCTTGCAATGGCCTAAATCATTCTTGCAGGGCGTTCCTAACCTTCACAGCACGTTATCCTTACAATTCGGTGCCTATAATCTCAGCTCTCATGTCTTCAAACCAATACGATGTTGCTCAAATCAACAATATTACAAGGTCCACAGTTTTCCCAACAGACGAGCAAGTTATAATTCCAGTTGATTGCTCGTGTCTGGGTCAGTACTATCAAGCCAAAGCGGTGTACCAGATCCCAACTGAGAATGAAACCTACTTCGTAATAGCAAACAATACATATCAGGGATTGTCAACTTGTGATGCGTTAAAGAGTGCAAATAATTACAGTGAGTTTGATTTGGGAACAGGTCTGGAGTTACGGGTTCCACTACGATGTGCCTGTCCGAGCAGGGGACAAACTGCTGATGGATCTAATTATCTGCTGACTTACTCAGTGGGCTGGGGTGATACTCTGCCTAGTTTGAGTGTGAGATTCAATGTCAGCGTCAAGAAAATAAGTGAAGCAAATGGATTTTCTGATGAAAATCCAACACTTTATCCTTTCACAACTATTCTAATTCCTCTGCATAGTGGACCCTTAAGTTCACAATCCACACCTGGGGATCACAATCTCCCAACATCACCTCTACCTGGTTTCAGTGCTCGGAAAAGCAAATCGAACAGGGTTCTTTCAACAGCCGGTATAGTTGCAGGAGGTTTTTCGCTACTAGTAGTCCTAATTATAATTTTTGTCTTTCTATTTCATAAGAGGAAAATATGCGTTCTTCCATGTCGAGAAAGTAAAAATATGACGGCATTTTCTCCTAAAGACGTGATTGTTGAAATTGCAAGTTTTGATCGTGCTCTCAAAGTTTTCAAATTCTCCAAAATAAAGAAGGCTACCCAGAACTTTGGATCTGCGACGAGGATAAAGGGCTCTGTGTACCTTGGAGTTTTTGCTGGAGAAGTTTTAGCAGTTAAAAGGAAAAGTGGAAATGCACGCATTGAAGTGAACATGCTTTATAAGATCAATCACTTCAATATAGTAAAACTTCACGGCGTTTGTGAACACGATGGCTACTCATACCTCGTCTTTGAGTACATGAAAAATGGTTCTCTCAGAGAATGGCTAACCACAAAAGGGTCTAAAGATGTAAAAAGCTGGAATCAGCGAATCCGGATTGCACTGGATGTTGCCAATGGACTCCTCTATCTTCACAGCTTCACTAAACCAGCATATGCTCACAGCAACATAAAAAGCAGTCACATTCTTCTGGATTGCAATATGAGGGCAAAGCTTGCAAATTTCAGTCTTGCAAGAACATCAGGGACGGATGAAGACACCGAGGAAATGACAACACAGATTATGGGCACGAAAGGGTACATGGCGCCCGAGTATCTTGAGACAGATCCGATCACTCCCAAGGTCGATGTGTTTGCCTTCGGAATGGTACTATTGGAATTGATAACAGGCAAATATGCTGTTGAACATGATAGTACTAAAAAACTGATTTCTACAGCAATAGCATCCATCATGAAAGAAGAAAATGCAGAAACGGAATTGAGTCAATTCATTGAACCTGGCCTTGGTGAAAATGGTGGGATGGAACATGCCGTTCAAGTGGTAAAGTTAAGCTTAAGTTGCATGGCACGAGATCCAGCCGATAGACCAGACATGAGCGAGGTAGCGTCGAGTCTACTGAAAATTCAATTGAATTTGAAGAAGTTATTCAGAGAGTGAAGAGAGCCACGAGACACATTCATGCGAAGAGAATTTTTTTTTTTTTTTTTGTCCTATTTACTTCACAAATTAGTTTTTACATGTTTCTTGAGTGTCATATATGTATATTTTTATGTTGCTTCTTATCTGAATATCCTAGTTTCTCCGTTATTTCTTATTCACGGGGTGATAATCTACAATCCACATAAAAGGGCTCTTGACCCGCATAAAAAGGAGACGTCAATGAAATGGACAAAAGCTCCATATCATTGCTAAATTTCTTCGACAATTGACAAGAATAAAAAATGAATACAATTTTACAGATTTCTTAAGAAAATGAGATGTACAAGGTATAAAAATGACTCCGTCAATCTTCCCCGAAAACTTCTATACTGAGACAATTCCTATAGGATGATCCAAGATTCTAATACAAGATAATGCCAAGCTATGATCTGACAAAAAATGGACCTCTATGTTAGAAAGGAAAGGTTCCTGTCATCCTGATGTGGTCGAGGGTCCTCTGTAAGCCATACTTGAGCACTGCGCGGTTACCGACTCTAAAGCCATTTCCATATACCACTGATGTGTCCGATTCAATCTGGTGTTTGAAAAACTCCCCAAGTTTCCTCTCAAATGGAGATCCTGTCCCCTGTGCGGTCGATGGCAAGAAAGCAGGGGGCAAGGATGAGGTTGATGCATAATCACTGCCGGATATGGTTATAATCTGGGATTCCAACCACATATTGGCAAGCACCTGGCAGATACCTTCTTCAACCTCTTGATTAAGAATTTGATATCCTTTTGGGAAATGGAAAACGTATCAGCAAAATGAGTATTCCAATATACTGGCATACAATGAGGAAATAAACCGTAATTATATATTTGGTAAGATGGATTAGACAACACTGAAATTAAATAACAAATAAGTCAAAATTTGTCAGTTATGTTTTCTAGTACAATGTAATCATGTTCAACACAAACTAAAGGAAAAGTGAGAGGGAGGGCGAAAAGAGCAGGAGAAAATACAAGCACCGAATAAATGTCTATTTGCAAAATATTGCTAGTTTTCCACATCATGTTTGTTAAATGTGAAAAAAAAACAAAAAGAAAAAAGTATCGAATTCACATCTTATTAAGAATACGCTAGCTGGAAAAAAAACCTAGCTTTCAAACACAATGCCAGTAATATTAGTAAGATTGTGTAATAAAATTGATATTCCTGTTTCCTTCTTGCCAGTGTCTCCACGCATAAAATTTTCTCAATGTTCGTGATGTTAATTCAGTTCAAACAACTACCTTTTTACTCTAAAAAAGACACCTCCTGAAATTAGACTAGACTAGAGTGCTAGAAAGACCAAACTGGTTTTTCAAGCTCCATATAAATAACGAGACATTAAGAGTAACTATAGCAGGGAGTAACATTTCACCATTAAGTCGCAGCCAAGCATGCATCATCTCATGAGCCAAAATTGATCCTGTCAGTAGCCTGCAAATGTTACAATCAATCATTGAAATTGTGATACAAAACTAAAATATATGTAAAATAACGCCCAACATTAGAAGACAAGTAAAATACCTAGGAAGACCATATAAAATGAGAATTGCTGTCACTTCACAACGGCGTGTTAATTTATAAGGTTCTGTTCTCATATCCAAGACTCGATTTCCGGCTCCCATCCTTGGTCGCCTCAATATCTGGTAAGCTCAATGGCAGATAAACAACAAACTTCAACTCAAAAGTAAAAGAGATTTCAAAATAGAAATTTCTTAAAAGAAAACGATTAAATAAATGAAAAATGGAAACCAAGTTCCTTACCGTACTAACAGTTTGTTCCTCGGAAAGACAGAGTCCTCGAGTCTCAGGCATGTGATGATGGCCCTGGTCAAAAGTGAAAAGTAAATGCCACAAATATAATCATATTTCTTCGGGGAAAAATGACTTCTAATAGAAAAATAAAATAAGTTTATTACTTTCTTTTCTTGTTTGAACTTTTAACATTTTTTTTTCTTACATGTCTCTCTCCATCCATGGCTTCATTTAGTGCCTGCCTCTCAACCAAAAGTAATGGAACTTGTTGTTTCACTTTCATATTTAACCCTTCATAGAATTCTTGTATATCGAGATAAAGAGGCTGACATCCATTGGTATCCATAACTGCAGAATCCAGGCACTCCAAGCAGAGCTTCCGACCATCATTAAGGGCAGCATATCTTGTGTCCCTTGGCTGCATTCAACAAATAAATATCCAAACCAATTAACAGTGAGTACAAACATAAAACCATTTAGATATTAATTGACAAGAATGAAGAGATTTTGAGCCGGTTCAGCTCCAAGTTACCTCCATTCGCTCACAGCTACAGCACCGAGGAGTTCCGTCATGCTCGTGACTAGGACAATATTTCTGGGACCAAAAGGGATGTGCCCTGTATTCAATCAGACCAGCTGCATTTGTTGGAATCTGGAAAGGAAAGAGAATTAAAAGCATTGCAAAGAATCAAAATAGATCCAAGAGGACCAAGTGTTCAAATAGTAAGAGAAGTTCAGCATGTACTGTCAAAGAAAAAACATAAACCAGAAAATAATCAGTATGATCGGGGAGAACCCCCACAAATAGTTTGTATTGACAACCAATATAAAGCAAATTTTTTTATTTTTTATTTTTATTTACTTATTTATTTTTTTGTTATAGGTAATCTAATATTTTATTAATCATGGATAATACACAGGAAATGTATTATCAATTTATACAAGACAAAAACAACGTAAAATTGGGCAACCCGTCTGTACGAGTAGTAGCCGCAGTATTAAACCAAGCATACAGGGTCTAATAAAACAATTCTTTAATTTAACTAGGCTTGATTTAAAAGGGGGGAAAATACAACAATAACAAGCTAAGCCATATTCCTAATACACGTGGGGTCGGCTATTGAATCCTTTCCCTTTTGGTGAATGTAGTTTAAAGTAAATTGCCAAAAGCATCAGTATTCTGCACCATCCTACAAAATACCCGCTTGGAAGGATTACTGATTGTAAATTGCCAAAAGCATCGGTATTCTGTACCATCCTACAAAATACCCGCTTGGAAGGATTACTGATTGTTAAAGGTGACTCGATAAATCATAAAACTCAGAGCAGATTTTGTTGAATTTTCTAAAGCAACATTAATTTGGAGATTCCCATTCTCTAAGTTCTATAAAATGCCTGAATACAGTAATATAACTTAGTGAGGGTGAAGGAGCAACCAGTCAGAAGATGATTAAAATAATAGAATTGATGAAGATCTTGGTGCTTATTTTTCTATGAAGGAATGGCAGACAAAATCATACCTAATCTATAGTTGTCACCATACTGAATTTTTGTATTATGAAAATATCTTCAATATAAGGCAACATCTATAAAGAATTATCACATAAGCAAGCTATAACAAATTGGTAAAGCCACTAGTTAAAACTTGTGTCTTCATAGCAATTTAATACAGGACATTTTTTGGTTTTCTAAAACAAAAATCTCTCATTTACTGGAAGAAATTCCTATAGAAAATATCTTTTATCTTGCTAGACAAGCTGCAAGATACATTTCAATGCACCCTTGTCCCTTGAATCGTAGAAATAATTTCAACGGTAACAGATTAAGTAAAACCTTTAAATTACCTCCATAAACTATATGTGCAAAAGCATGTATCATTGCATTAATTTTTGCCAGTGCATGTTGTCTAGGCAATTATCATGTTCACTTGAGTTATTTTAGTCCCAAATGCTTTGGCGATACACATACATATTGGAATTACAGAATTCCTAAATTTTTTGACCACTAAAATCATGCATAGATAGGAAGGCCAGAATTGCTGAAAATCTAGGCCATTCCACACAAAGTCAACGACAAACTCAAGATATCATGCAAGAGGGGAGCGAATGAATTCAAACATTCCATGTGAGAGATACTTACAAAGTTTTTGCACACATCACATTTTGGGTGATAAGAATCTTTATAGCATGCTTTGTGATAAGGGTAGCTCCCCGACATAGAAAACTGCAGCAGATGGATATCAAAATATTAAAAAAGAAGTCATTGATGCCTTTTTTTCATTTTTTCTTTTTCTACTGAGCAGTAACAACCTAGACTCCTAGAGTTTACACTTACTTGCGTTATTTGTATCGATCACTGTAAAATCAAATGATATTTTGCTATATTGCATTATTTTCAACCATAAGTCAACAAGTAGTTGAATGTTAAAAAGCATATGAAGGACCATTTAAAATATCCAGCTCAAACATATATGTATGCATCATATACTCATATATATATACACAAGCTCCTGCGTGCGCACACACTTTAATACATAAAATAGAAAGAGAGAAAATACTCCACATACTCTCAGACTACTGAGAATCTTTTTTACCTCATAATCATATATTGGATGTTTGCAAGCATGGCATCTAAAACATTCTGGATGCCAGACTGCACTCATACAACTCAAAAATCTCCCTTGACCAATCTCGGTGTTACAACCAGCACAAATCCTACAGTGAGCAAGCAAAATATAACAACATTATTAAGATATAGACCTTTTGAAACAGTAAACATCCAACTATCTTAATTTACAGAGACATATACAGGTCAATCTCTGAATTTGTCAGTATGTAAAGTGAAACACTATATTGGCCAAAGTCTAACTTAAGAACCAAAGTGCATTTTTATCTGAAACTGTAGAAAGAATAAAACTGAAAGTGAAGATGAATAGAAGTCTTTCCATAGTAAGAATCAAATTAACTACGAATATTTTTAGTTTGATACTCATTCCCTAAAGCAGAAATTAGAATTCAAACACGTGGTCATAGATGACAAGCTATAGGATGGTAGGATGGTCATAGCAAACAGGGTCTCCTAGAACAAATAATCACTGAATATAACTATAGCCCATAATATAAAAAGTTTACATACCTGAAGCCGGTCGAATAGGGAAAAGGTATAGGTTGGTAAAAGTTTTCATTTCCTATTGGATCATTGCCATATCTTCCGCTAGTGCTGTTTCTATTTCCATTTTGAGGTGGAGACTCAACAATCAAGCTCTCCTGAAGAGCTCTGGCAAGCAGCTCATCTTCTTCCAACTGGTATTCACTATCTACCCAACAAGAAGGTACTGTTTAGAAAATAATTCTTAAAATACAAAATGAGAAAAATACATTTGGAGAGAAAAATGATAAAAGAAATATAAATTACACTGATACAAAAATATACGAGACAAACGAATTTTAAGTGAATCATTAAAGAAAGCTAAACTTAATTCTAAGTTGCAGAAAGTTGAGCATCATAGTCAAGACCAACAGAGCTATATTCATTTGATAACCAATTGTGTGTTAGGGAAAAAAATGCACAATAAATCTTGCAGTTTATTTAAAGATGAACATAAATATGTTCCTGGTGACGGTTTCATCAGGACACACACACAATGACACAATGCCAGCAAGGCATTCACATTTTATCATTATACAACGAGAACACCAAAGTACTTACTAATCACAGTTTTCCCCTTCTGATCTTCTTCTGAAAGCGATAATGCAATAGCACGATCTATGTCTTCAATCTCTGAAGTTGTATCCTATTATATATATATATAGCAAGGCCAATAATGAATAAGCTTTCTAGAGAAAATAATTGATAATTGGAGAGTGGAATATTAGATATATACAAGCAACCAAGTATGCAATAGTAAATGTTTGTCTCCAAACAAAACAAACAACAAATAAAAGAAATCTTTCCCATCTTACCTAGCAGCTCAATAACAACTAATAGTTCTGCACTGCAGAGCAAATAAGAATAAAAATTGCAAAATAATAAAGACCTGAGGAAATCCTCTAATTCAACACCAAGTTTTAAAATAGAATCCAGGACAGTGTAAGAAAAAAATAAGCCGGGGGGGGGGGGGGGGGGGGGGGGGGGTTTGAGATCAGGTTATAACAGAGTTTTAGGAATGCTCCTGGACTTCAAAGGAATTTAGATAATGCTATCTAAAAAACATATTGAATATGAAAACAACAGAACTTACCAATGAAGTTGATGGATAATTTCCCACTGTATCTGTTCCATATTGGGCATCTGAAAGTTTATGGTTTGAACCTTTGAAAATTTTGCTAAGCCATCCCATTCTGAGAACTGTTATTGACAAGTAGCTAAGGAAGCCTTTTCCTGTATAAAAAATTCAATGAAGCAGGAGACAGAGAAAGATAATGGTTCTGCTATCTATTATTGACTACAATGTGTATGTTTCACTATCAGATTTTCCTTCTCTCACTGCATAACAATCAATGATGTGAAAAGAAAAACTCATAATTTATCTACTCGTTGCTTGTCTTATTTATTCATGAGCAGATATGTTATCAGGTTAATCCATTCCAAAAAAGTCTACAACATTCCACAGCTAAAATTATCTAAAATCAACAAAAACATTTTTTTTGTAATTTAATCACTGAAAGAATATTGTTCTTGCTACCAGTCGTATTTAAGGATGACAATAATATGACTCATCAGACGAAAGCATCATCCTAGACAATTATATAGAAACCAAATGAGACAATAATATAAAGAAGACCTACTAATCAGTCTACCATTGTAGATTGAATCCCAATGTATACCCAGAGTGTACGAAAAACAACTCTGATAACTACATAGTGAATGCAATCTCTGGGAATCTTGAACTCACATCTTTTTCTTCTTAATTAATTTTAAAACGTACATTCAATTCCAACCCACCAACTTGAACATGTTTGAATACAAAACCTTCTCAGAACTATTACATAACATAGCTTTCCAAAAATTAATGACATTGAATTAGGAATGCAAATTATAGTTGTGACATTTAACAAAAGATGTGCTCGAATGAGCATGCAATCTGAATTCGAACCAATCACTTGCATCCTTATTCATACGTGGTAAACTTGACCATCCTTTCGATAAGAAGCATAGAATTCAAACCCAAAATCACCGCCAATCAATATTTATGAGAACCTAAATATCTTAAGCTTCCAAACATCAAGAATGAATTGCATAGGTTGCTCACACAGCAATGTCTATTAATTACCAGCCCAATTGATTGTAAGATAACACAAATTATAGAATACAGATTCGTCCAGCTCAACACGTCTCTTAATTCTAGAAAATCAAGCAATATTATCAGATTACACAATTATAAAAGAAATCAAATGCTGTGAATGAGTTACTCACCTTAATCCGGCCCCCGAGAATCTACAGGAATTGTGGTGTGCAAGCACTCAAATAACGAAAAGAAGCAAATTTAGCACAAGAGGAACAGCATCCAGAACAATTAAAAGATATTCTGAACCCCCGCCCCTTTTTAATTCTTTCAATACAGAGAAAGAATCTTTATAAGAAAAAGGAAAAATAAAACTTTTCCAAACAGGGGAAAAAAAAATTTTAATACCCAGAATCTTTCTTCCAATCGAAAAGAAAAAGAAAAGAATCCGAGAAAGGGAAAATAAAACTTCTCAAGAGAATAATCATCGCCTAACCTCTATTATTAAAATCAGAGCACCAAAAAATCATGTGTGAAATCGATATACAGTATGAACGATGATAAAGACTTAAATTTATAGGCAAGATTTTTCAAAGTCAAATATTGGCAACATTATTTGGTTTAAATCAATAAAAACCCAAGAGGATTTGACTAAGAAATATCAAACCCAGGGGCATCGACGCTTGATGGGAATAGTTGGTGGAGCCGTGGAGGTGTAATATATATGTCACGTGGGTCCAAATTTTCTTTTCACAAAAAGACACGCCAAAAGCTTTTTTGGCTATGGAGACGAAGGTGGGTTGCTCAGGTTTGAGACCGTTTGGCGCGCTCGTGCAGTGGCCAATCGAGACTGAGTCGAGACATGCAAATTTTGGTTCTATGCGATTAGGTTCGATCGTCTTTCTCATCCTCGATTTTGATAAAATTTATTGAGATTATGAGTTGAGAGATACTACGTTATTAGATTCATTTGTACAGACTTTGTATAGAAAAGTGCGTATAGTATTATTTGTGCTATTTTTTAATTGGGTGGGACCTATTCCATTATGAGTCATCTGTACAAATTCTAGAGAAATCAATCTGGTTGAATAGTTTTTTCCTTATACGCTGGTGGTTCCAATCAAATGTATTGTTAAAAGTCGATAAAAATTTTGGATCAACGAAATGAAATATTGAAAATAAAGAAAAATTTGTCAAATAGATGATACGGATGTAGAAAAGACTTGTTATACTTTAATTATTCTCATTTATTGTGTTTTGTCAATGATTATGATTGTCAATCATAGTAGATTTTTTTATTCATAAATTTTAAAACTTAGAAGTTATGCCAGCTTTGGGTGAATTTCTTAAGAAACAACATTTTCTAGACTTGTGCAATTTAAAATTATTATTGAAACATATTTCCTTTTATTTTTTTCTCTTCTTCCTTAAAGGAATACACACACACAGAGTAATCGAGTTGGTTCATTTGTGATATACGAAGTGTAGCTTTTTTTTTTTTTTTTTAAATCTTCCTATTTTGTTCTTTATTTTTTATTTTTTTTTAATTCTTACAATTCTAATATACTAAGTTTGAGAAAATAATAATAACAAAGACATAATGAAATAAGCATCGAGTTCAAAGTTTGGATTAATCTTCTGTTCATTTTCTAGCAAACCTTTTTTATTAGTTTTTTAAATAAGAAATAATATTTTGG